AAAAAGTTTAGTTTGCCGAGTACCAAGAATAGCTTTGGCGCCCCGCTCCGTCGCGGACGACAGTTTTATTGTTATTGAAGAGGTTTTTATAGCAGTTTGTATGCGTACGATGTTTATCTGTTGGTTTGCCTGAATGATCTATTTCTTCCTAAGAAGAGAATGAATCTTTTCTTCGTGATTTTGCCATGATCACGGGTGTTCTTTACTTAGGGACCATAACGAGTCCCGGAAGACCTCCCCTGATTCCTAGTTAACTAAGTCCAGTATTTTAAATTAAATAAGAAGAAAGCGGCCTCGTTTAATGTCTACGGGGTAATTCAGTTTTTAAGAAAAGACTTTTTCGCTAACTGGAGGATTCAAAGAAATTTATCAGCAAGAGGATCTGAAGTATAAAAGAAGTCTGGAATATATTATCAGTTTCTTAAGTAGGCGCCGCCATCAAGGCCGCAAAAATATACTTTTTGTAGTAATAGGTGCAGCAGTAGCAGATTATATTTGAGGAATATTTACCGTTTGCTCTACGGTACTGCTATTTTTATTTTCTCGTTTGCTCGAAAAGTTTGATGGGGGGAGGCTATCTACTGAAGGTACGGTATTGAATTGTAATGTTTGTAATCGTTATAATTTATAAATTTATTTTTAACTTTTATTTAATAATCCTAAATATCCCTTTCATAATGCATTTGGGGGTGATTTATTATTAGTTTATTTATTTACTTTCCCCTGAATGAAAATGCAAATGTTCGGTGCAAACAACGCATTTCCAGTGAGAAGTGATTTGATCTGCCTTCTCCAGAAATGAATTACATTTAAAGAAACTAACAGAATAAGTTTCATGAAAAAGGGGAAATATATTGTTTGCCTTTTGCAGTTCTTTACATATAAAATTAATACGAAAGAAGTAGAGAATCTTAACCATTCAAAAGAAAAACCAACATGTTTTAGGTCTAATCTCGCCCACCAGGCCGAGCAGTCAAAGCTCTGAATATTGACAGTTGGATTCAGATTCAAATCCTATCAAATGAGCTGGTTGCATGAAGTTTTCATGATTTTATAAATGTGTAAAGAAAATACGAGCCAATTTCCATGAAAACGTCTTCCACGAAAATATCCCTGCCTTTAGGCGTATATCTCTGGAGTGTTTTGCCATAATCTATTCGTTTCCTTGAGTTTTTATCTCAATAACATGCCACTTGAAATAAACAAATAAATAATAATAATAACAACAATATTATGCGGAAAGGAAATTTTAATTTACGCACACCTAAAAGTTTCTAGAGCATTTAGGCTAATGTCCCTTTGGGCTAAAAATATTTAAAAATAGCATATCATTAGAATTTCCAACAGACAGTCTAGAGATGAAGCTTTTTCCCGTACAATGCAGTCGTCGCTCGCTGAGTTTTTTAATCAAAATTCGTTAGTTTCACAAAATATTAAATAGACAATAAGAAAATTTCAAATTCGAAATTCGAGCTGCCAGCGCCCATCTCCAAATGGAGGACTACATCAAAATTTGATAGCTGAAGCTCCCGTTGTTTTTTCACAACACTAGAAACAAACATATTCATACAAATTCTTCATTAATATAATATAGGGTGATAATATTTGGTGGCAACAGTTTGAAAAGTGAAACGGGTATTTATAGAGAATCGATGCAAAATGCCGTTTCGAGATTAATAGCCCGTTTGTGCTAAAAAAAGAGAAAGCTTAAAAGGCTCAGATTTAAACGGTCGCTCAAAAGGGTTTGTTAAGGTTTTTCTGGGCTCTCGCTGAGCTCGCAGTCTATCAGTCTGGTGTTGCACTCACATCTGCTAACCCATTTCTTTTTGTCTTTTAACATTTATTATTAAGCATTATTTTCTTCTCACTTACGCCATGCGCAATCCAACATGCGTGTTAAATTAATTAATTAAATATCCTAATCTCTGCATTTACACCACATAAAATTCTGTTGAAGTAGCAAAATCACAAAATACTATTTACAAACAGCGTATCTTTAGAATATTTATACGCAGTCTCGCGCGCTGGAGATAACAATGTTTTAATCCGTACAGTGTTGCGACTGCTCACTTTCATATGGTTGAGTTTGTTAAAAATTCATTATAAACTTTTACAAAATATGAAATATACAATTCGAAAATCAAAATAATCAATCGGGCTTCCAGTTCCACGCGAGTAAAGGACTACGTTATTCAAAATTTGATGGCCTTAGGTACCATCATATTTTCACAGTACGAGGAACATGCATACATACATGCAAAATCTCTATTATTGAATTTCTTTAAATATAATACAGGCTGATAATATTTGGTGGCAACAATTTAAAAAGTGTTTCTCCCTTTATAGCGGACGCCTCAAAATCCCGTTTCGAGACTAATAACCATTTTGGGATAACGCCCTTTTGGACTAAAAATGTTTTTGTTTTCCCTACAGAAGATTCAGGCGTCATAGTGTATTTACGAACTGTATTAGTCGAGTGCAGCAATGTGCAAACCATGTGAAGAACACATTATTACTGCCAAGCACACGAAGGCTTAGCCGGAGAGATGCGTTCATGAAGGATTTTTTTAAGAGTTAATTGATTAACGTAAACTCGTAAGGGGGGTTGATGCCTTCGTGGCTGAGATTTTGAAGTAAATTGCCTCATATTAACGTTACACGTGAGGAAAGCCAAAAAATCTCCTATGCAGCCAGCCCGTTCGTTCGCTGAAATTTGATCCGAGTTAGAGGCTACCAGAGATATGCGACTTTACCACTCGGCCGCTGGCAAACCCAATTGATTTGCGAATAAATGTATTTAAATTTTAAATATGTTATGCTAATAACACTTGGCAAGGAAGAAAAATATTGCGAAAAAATATACCAAAGGTAGTTCATCTGGTTAAATAAATATTTTGAAATATTTATTGGTCGCGATAAATCCGCCAGTTTGGCGCTCGATCCCCAGAACCCTTTCCAGATTCATGAAAAAGGCATATCACGTTTTTCAAGCCTTTGACAGGACCCGATCAAAAGCTTTGGTTTGCCAGTGTTAGAATGAACGAACAATTCTATCTCTCTGGTTCTTTCATTCGTTCATTTCTTTATTTCTTTCCGCTGTCAGAATTGGCTGTGCTCTCCAAAAATGCTTTTCTTTACTTTTATTTTATTTTTATCCCGAAGATTTATTTGAGAAAAAAAGACCGTGCTTAAAATGCTTCATTTTACTGTAAATTGCTTGAATAGCAATGTGGAGGTTTATAACTAAAAGTTTATTTGCTTCGGAAATCTTCGCAGAAAACTCTTTTACAGAAGAAATTTCTGTTAAACAAGTTATGAAGCAATTAACAAAAGTACTTTTTCCGGTTCATTTAAATAGAAACATGTAATCGGAAAAGGTTATGCTTCATTCGGATACGAAAAGAAATTACTTCAACTGTCGACCGTAAAGTTTCAGAAAATTTATATGCATTTTAAAATTTTAAAAGCCAGTTTTGGAAATTGTAGCTTTTCTGCATCTTATTAATATTGCTTTCGATATTAATCATTAAAGTTAAACAATTTTATAGGTATCAAAAGTCGTTTTGCACTTGTCCAAATCCACAGCTATGTATGATCCCGTCAATAAACATGGGTGCATCTCTCTTAGGTAAACACTGGCGTCGGGCAAAAGAGTAATGACGGTATGACTCCATTCCCAGTTTTCAACGAGAATATCCTGAATAATAAAATCCAAGGTCTTTCTCCCTTTTACTCTTTCACCGACCTCTCTGAAAAACATCCGAATCAGCGGATTTTAGGTACCCACACTCAACACAAACACTACAGTCAAAAATGTTCACGTCCCTTATTTTAGGGATTCGAAATGGTAGGCCACTGACATCTACGTACAAATTAGGAAAGTACACTCATAACGTATATAAAACTCTTAATAACTTCAATTTGTTAACTTTTATAATTCAAAATTGCGAAACGTGATAGTTAAAAATACACATTATTTGCTAAATTTAAGTAAGCATGCAATTACATTTTCTTGAAGACCTAAAGATAATTTCTAATCTAATAGTTAATCTATTTGCTATACCAACCAGATATTACCCAATATATCAAGAACAGTTTATTTCATAGTTCTTGTTTTCTTTAGTTTAATATATTAGGCTAAATCATGTAAAGACTACACACGTAAGGAAGTGATGTTGTCATGGGGAACTTATTAAAAGAAACTACCTCATATTTGTATTGAACATAGGAAAAAATACAAAAACGGCTCTGCAGCTAAATCTTAGTACCACGAATCTAATGCGAATTGTGGTATTAAGATAAAGCGATTTCATCCACTCTGCCGCTGGTGGTTCTGCATTACTTCTTTTTTTGAGCATTGGAAGCCACGATAGCTTCATGCAACGTTCGAGCAGCTTCTTGCGTTGTCTTTGCATGTATTTATAGATTTTAGATAACCAAATTCATTAATTTAACGTAATATTAACTTTAAAATTTGCTTGTCAAAATATTCTTTTAAAACAAATTTACAAAGGGCTAAGAATCAATAAATAAATACAAAATCAAACTTAAGCAGCAAGAAAAGAGTAAAACATAAGAAAATTATTCGTTATACATTAATAAACATTACTGGAGAAACTAACAAAACACCGGTATAGTTCACATCTAGCATTCTTACAATACGCTGAATAATTTATATGTAAGCCCTGTGCCCCGAGTAAGAATCGAAATGAAGATAAATTTGAGAGGGGAGTTGTGGGTGTGGACCGTCACCCAATCCCTTCCCAAACCTTGAAAGATAGCTCCTCTCCCCTCGAACAACATTCTATTTGAATTAGCACGGAACACGTCATCTAGCGATTCCCGTGCCGTTCACCCCTGCGAGAGAAGTGGAAGCTACTACGTCTTTTGCGCCATCTGTTGTCCGAACTTCGAAGTAGCCGAGCAGAAAAACTCCGCCGCACTTGTTCATCAGGTGAAACTCGTGCGAGGCGGACGCGCACGAAATGTTATCCAACAGCTCGAGAAAACCCGTTCTTGCTTGGCGTCTCCTCGGCTGTATATCAGATTCGATCTCAGCTGACGCTTTATTTTTTCCCCTATCCGCAAACTTCTTCAAAGCTTGACCTTTGGAATGCTACTCGATCTGCGAAAAAGCTGCTAGATTTGCTGCAATTAGATCAGACTTAGTAATGCTCTTTAAGTGCTTCTTCCGATTTCAAATGGATTTGTGAGCTGAAGTATGACTTTCCGCTAATGTGCCAATCGTAAAATATACATCTTGTAGATATATTAATTTAAAAACAATTTCTATAGCGGACAAAAGTTAGCGTTTCTGAAGTGTTCATCCAATGGCATATTCTTCGAAAAAACAGATAATGAGCAAAATTTTCCTGGATTACTAATCTTTTTTTAAATCGCGAATTTGGGGAGAAAAATTGTGATTGGACTCGATTTGTGCAATCTTCCGTATTTTGTTTTGGTTATTATTATTTAAATCAATGACAAATGAATTAGTAAATTTCCAATCAACAATCAGCGTTTCTTAGAAATTTCCGATCCTGTGATTTCGCTGTTACTTTGACTGTTTTATATTTTATAGTAGCAATGTGATCGCGCATTAAATATTGAACTTTAAATTTCTAATATCTGAGAAAAGAAGAAAGCTTTTCTGCTGATGAAAATATTTTGCTTGTACTAGATTGACAATGGATTGTATTACAGAATTTTTATGTGATGGCAAAGTGCTGCAGATTTCGTGCTTCGAAACATTGTGCATACATAAAGCAAGCATTCTTAGGGTTTTGAAGCATTAACAGCTATGTTACGCAGTTGGATCTACGTTGTAATCGTCGGCGCGGTGTTCTGCCGTATTGCTGCGGGATCTCGCGGGTACGTAGCACCGGAAGACTGTGAATGGACTGCCGCTGGAAGCCTCGGTTCTTCTTCGGTGGCGCTGACATGCACCGTCCGTACCATAAATGGAGCTTTCGATAGCACAAATTTCAGCCTCATCCAGCCTCAAAATACAGTCAGTCTGAAAGTCAAATGCGAAAATGTGTTATTCGAAAGTGCCCTTGCAAATAGTTCTTTCCAACATCTCAAAGAGCTACGATCCCTGCACATCGACTTCTGCAAACTGAAGGAGATACCTGTTAAGGCATTCTGGGGTCTGACGGAGTTGACCAACTTGACGGTGAGAACTTACAACAGCGACTGGGGTGAGATTTTCCTGAAAGTAATCCCTGGCAGTTTATCCCCTCTTCAGAAACTCAACAGGTTGGATTTTAGTCGGAACAATATGCCAGCTTTAGCACCATCATTATTGTGTTCTTTGCCAAATCTACAGCATTTAAATCTCTCTCATAATGATTTCAGCGAAGTCGTGAATTTGGGTTTCGCGGCTACCAACCGGACGCCTTGTCCTGTTCATGTTCAACATCTGGATTTAACGAAAAATCGCTTGAAAGTGCTCGGCGATCGTGGATTTTCGGCACTGAGGCATTTGCGGACTTTGTACCTTCAATCGAACAGGATATCTCGTGCGGAGGATACAGCGCTGGCCGGCTTAGGTAAGCTACAAATTCTAGATCTTTCTAATAATCAGTTGATTGCTCTTCCACCGGGTTTCCTGAAAGGCTCGGAGTTGCTTGCAGAACTTTATTTACAAAATAACTCTATGAGTGTCCTGCCTCCTGGATTGTTTTCTGGACTGCAGCAGATGCTCATATTGGACTTGAGTCGAAATTCGCTCACCAGCCAGTGGCTTAATGGTGATACTTTTGCTGACATGACTCGATTAGTTGTCATGGATCTAAGTTATAACAAGTTGTCTCACCTCGATTCAGCGACATTTCGCTCGCAGTATAGCCTCAAAGTTTTACAGCTGCATCATAATGAGCTCGTCAGCATTGCCGATAACGCTTTTTCATCGCTGTACAACCTCCAGAGTTTGATACTGAGTCAGAACAATTTAACTTATATTGATGCTCTTACTTTTAATGGCCTTCAGATGTTGGAAATCATATCGTTGGATTTTAATAGCATACAGGCAATTCACAGTGAGGCTCTGAAAAACTGTACAAATCTCCAAGAATTGACTTTGAATGTCAACAAGCTAATAGAAGTGCCAAAAACTATAAAATTTCTGCAGCAGCTACGAAGCCTGGATATAAGCAACAATAGGATTTCTGTGATAAGTAACGCGTCTTACCAAGGTTTAGCGCATTTGTACGGTTTGAAACTTGCAGGAAATTTGATAGGGAATTTAAGTAAAGGTGTATTTCAAGATTTACCCTCAATAAGAATACTAAATTTAGCTAATAATAATGTGCAGGCTATTGAACAAGGTACTTTTGATGAAGTGCCGCTGCTTCATGCTCTAAGATTAGACTCCAATTTGATATCGGATATTAATTCCTTATTTATAAATCTTCATGATTTGATGCTACTTAATATCTCAGCGAATCGGATTTCTTGGTTCGATTATGCACTTATTCCGATTGGATTGCATTGGTTAGATGTTCATGATAATCAGATAGAAACTCTAGGAAATTATTATGAGCTAGAATCTGTGTTAAGACTACGTACTTTGGATGCATCCTACAACAGAATAGGGGAAATAGACGCATCGTCATTACCGAATAGTATAGAAATAATATTTCTGAATAATAATCTGATAAGAAATATACAAGCTTTTACCTTCTTAGGCAAGCAAAATCTAACTAGGGTAGAGCTAAAAAATAATTATTTACAGACTTTAGAAATGAATGCATTTAGATTAAGTGAAGTACCAAGTAGAAGACCGCTTCCAGAATTTACGGTTTCGCAGAATCCGTATATCTGTGATTGTAACATGGAATGGGTACAGCGCATGGCTACTTTAGATGAATCTAGACAATATCCGAGAATGACGGATATCGAAGATATTATATGCAGTTTAACATTCACTCGGCGGAGAGCAGTAGTGCCGCTTACGAGAGCTCAGAGTTCGCAGTTTTTATGCAGTTACAAAAGTCACTGTTTTGCCTTGTGCCACTGCTGTGAGTTCGATGCTTGCGATTGCGAGATGGTGTGTCCTGAAAATTGCACCTGTTACTATGATCAGAGTTGGAATACCAATATCGTAGATTGTGGTAGCAAGCGACATACAGCAGTGCCTAGAAAGATACCCATGGACGTTACTGAACTGTATCTCGACGGCAGTGATATTCCAACTCTATCCAGTCATACATTTATTGGCAGAAAAAATATGAAAATCTTGTACCTTAACAATAGCAATGTGCATACAATCGATAATAGAACTTTCAACGGGCTGAGAGACCTTCTAGTTCTCAATTTAGACCATAATCGTCTGACCGCGCTTCACGGATATGAGTTTGAAAGGCTGGTGTTTCTTCAAGAGCTTTATCTCTCTCACAATTTAATCACAACAATCAGCAACGTCACTTTTTCAGCTTTGAAATCTATAGAAATATTGCATCTAGATCACAACTTTATAGTGCATTTCCAAGTGTGGTTACTCAACATGAATCCTCGTTTGCAAGAAATCCGATTTGCTCATAATCCCTGGACGTGCGATTGTTATTTCATAGGGGAATTAAAGGAATATCTTCATTTAAAAGGTGACTATGTCCGTGATATTTACGATTTAGAGTGCCAGTTTAACCATAGCAGTGCTCATGCCTTGCTAGACTTCAATACGACGGCCTGCAACAATTTTACTGCCACAGCAATTCGAAGTGAGTTCGACGTTACTGAAATGCTGCCAATGCTGATCATTGCCGCATCAGTCTTATTCTGCGTGATCTTCGCGGTTGTGCTCATCTTTATTTACAGACGAGAAATGGGTGTGTGGTTCTACGCGAAGTATGGTGTACGCCTTTTCCAAGGGGGCAAAGGACGTGCTTCTCAACGGGGTGGTGGAGACGAAGACAAACTCTTCGATGCATTTGTCTCCTACAGCAAGAAAGATGAGGCCTTCGTGACACAAATCTTAGCTCCAGAGTTGGAATGTGGAATGCCGACCTATCGTTTGTGCCTTCACTACAGAGACCTACCGGTCGGAGGGTACATGTCAGATGCCATCATGGAAGCCATGGAAAGCAGCAGACGAACTATATTAATTTTGTCCGAGAACTTTCTGAAAAGTGAATGGTGCCGATATGAGTTTAAATCGGCGCACAGGGAAGTTCTCAGCGCGTGCCAGCATAGACTTCTAGTGATAGCTTTGGGCAAAGTGGACCCCCAGGAGCTGGACCCTGATATCCGACTGTGGATGAAACAGAGTCCGGTCCTCAGGTGGGGTGAGAAACTCTTCTGGGACAGGCTAAAATATGCAATGCCTGATGTTCGACACCGAAAGACAGAAAGGAACAGAAATGACGTGAGTGTAGCTGTACATATTTGAAAATAGTGCTTTTTATTACTCATATTAATTTTATTTTCGTGAGAATGGACGAAGTTATATTAAGACAGTAACGTGCACATCTGGGAACGGTTGGTTCTAATTTTATTTTCCCTCCTATTAATATAATAGTTTTATTGTTCATGTACTCACCCAATTTTAATTGCATTATGTTTTAGCTTTTATATTAGTTACAGATTTTAGATTTTGATATTGATACCAGACACCAGGTCTTAATTAATTTTATTTCTGAAGTTATGGTCTTATTTAAAGTAAGCTTAAAATTATTTAAATATATGAACTGAATATTATGCAAATATGTTTAAATATTAAATTATTAGTCGAAATTAATAACATGAAATTTTTAATAAGAGTGTTTTTTTGGTTACTAATGTTATAAACGTAGTTGAATATTAATAACTGAATAGTTTCAAGTTTTTTTAATAACAACATTTTTATGTTCAATGGTATTTTTATTTTCAGGGTAAATATTTTTTACTAATATGAAGTATTGATAAAGGTACTTGTACTTCATTCAGTGAAGCTTCTAACAAATTATATTTATTAAGTTTATCGTACTTTTAAGGAGATACTTTAATGTTTCTCTCTTATATTATATAAATGCGACTTTACATTTCCCCTTTAGGAGAATAACCATTAATAAATGTCATTTTTTTTTAATATGTAGAGCATGAAAAAATGAGTTGTCATAGCTATTTATTTTCAGAAAATGCTTTATTTTTAGAAATTTTTAAATCTAATTTATTTTCTTGCTTATTTTTTTAATAGTGAATGAATTTTTTGTGCAATGAAATATATATTTATGAAATCTTATATTCTTCTGTCCGTATGATTTATAAACTGCTACCATAAAATTCAAGCAGAATTGCTATTGCTAAATTATTCATCTATCATTTGGTAGACTTTCCCCTAATAACTGCTGTATTCATCTATCATCCGGGAAACTTCCCTTCTAACAATAACTGAGTACATTAATTGAGTTGTGCCGAGGGTTGTGTGTTACAGTTCAGGAGTTACCATAATATTTCTAAATAATATTTTTAGTGCAGTAAGGCCGTACTCAGGATTGTGAGATATTTAAACAACTGGATTTTAAATGCCAGTTAAGAAAACCATGTTGTATATGCAAGCTTAACATTTTGAATGGAAATAAAGGTCTAGTTTTGCAGATTACATATTTAGCTTGAGAGGCAAATTTATACAGTCGCATTTACGAGGATTCTGTATTTCAAGGAGACCCCGCTTCCCATATCATTCATTTACAATTAAAAAACTGAGAATAAGACCCATGTTTTGGAAATTGAGGAGAAATCTGCTGCTGTTAAGCGTAATTCTCCATAAAGCGTGCTTAGTTGCTTTAAAAAATTTTGAAGTGTGATTATGTAACAATGTGACATAAATAATTTAATCTAAGTCATTTATTATTTAATTTTATTACTAAAGTTATTTTGGTATTTCGCTTTCGTATCATCTCCAGTTTTACCATTTAAACAACTTTAATCGTGATTTGTGATACTGAAATTTACTCTTAGTTGTTTTGAAACTAAGAATGTACGATTTCCACTGTTGATTGTTTGTCTTTGATTTCCACTGTTCATTCTTTATTTCGAACTCTTAAGTAAGTCTGTATGCCGGAATTTTAAAAGGATTTAAAGCTTTTATACTTGTGTGGGAAATAAAATAAGCTAGATAAGAAATTTTTATTAGAATCGAGCTTATATTCGTGTATTATTTGATAACGTTTCATAAATGCCTGACTCCCGTAATTCTTTCAGCCTGTGTGTTTATTTTTTTAAAATCAGCTTTAAGATAGTTATGAAATATTTCCGTTAATTTATTCATCTCATCCTCTCTCGAAATGTCTTTTTATACTATACTTATTTAAAAAATATGAATACCTGATAAGCGATATTGATATTTTTCATGAATATGTCTTAACTTGTATTTGCTAGAAAGTAAACTACGTTTCTTGAAATAAACGACAACAAGTGACATATTTTTCTGCGCGCAAAAAATCCCCTAGCTTAGTGGTTCGTCGACTATCATAATGAGCATCATTTATCAAAATTTAGCTTTCCCGGACTTCATGCTGTGACTTTGGGAAAAATTTTGAGCCAATTCGAAGTTTATCCCGTCGCATCCATCTGATCTTCTTTGCTGTCATTTTTTATTTTCATCATCGTATCCCAACGCAGATTCTGCGATGTCAATCGATTTTTTCTTATCGATTCACGGAACCCTTTTCCGATAGCATAAGCGGATTAAAAGGCTCACAGGATTGGCTCTACTAGACAGCGTTATAAAATGGGATGAAGAGGCGATATGATTGATAATATGCTTTCCTGTGCAAATGTTGTTGATTCGCGATTATGCAATTTATCATCCACAACCTTCATGTTGAATTTCACTCCAGTCTTAGCAGTTCTGTCTTCAAGAAGCAGGCTGAAAGCAGCTGCTTGAGATTAACGGTCCTTCACTGTTCGAAAGTAACAGAAAAAGCTGCTGAATCCGTTCCAATAGCCGCCTTGGAGAACTAGGATTAATGAACCACATGAAGTCGTTGATAAATTATATTTATTTTGTCATTTGTCTTAAAAATAAGCTATTATTATTTATAATTAGCATAACATAAGTAATAATTGTTGATACGCGGAGAATATCAAATATGTCTTATGTCTTGAAATTTAATGAACAAAAAATACATGGAATAAAATGAACCTATTCAAAAATTTAATGAACAAAAAATACATGGCATAAAATGAACCTATTCAAAAATTTAAATGCTAGAGTAATGCGTAACTATTCGAAAAATATTAACATCTGCGACACAAGGAGGCTGAGTTTATTAAACTTTTAGCATTTGCAAACTAATTCATTGACTTTTTTGGAAATGGCTTTTTCGCCATTTATCTAAAACGCTTTTTCTTCTGTCCTTTCCTTCCGTAAATTGTTTTGATTTAGTATAAAAGCTCATTTGACTTTTACCTGCATTTTCTACTTATTACAATAAGAAAACATAACTAATGACGAGCATAATCTTGATGAAAAATATTACATATCTGAAGTTCAAACTTTAATTTATTCAAACAATTTGTCATTTTCCCTTTTTATTAGAAAGGTAACAAAATTTACTTATTTGGGAAATTCGTAAAGTTTCGTCTAATTGCATGGTGACCGTAGTCGAAGAATGTTTAGGAGAAGGTTTTAATGGCCATTTTTCTGGGGATTCAGAGATCTCAGTTTCGGTTCCTTTTCAAAGTGACTCATTAGAGAAGGTAAACGTAGTAAATGATTGTTAATGTAGTTCTGAGTAATGTGCATCATATGACTATCTGTATGCTTATAAATGAATTTTAGTGTCACAGTTTCTCACCTCTTTAGATTTGTTGAATTTCTATAAAAATGTACTCATATAAAGCAAATGCCCCCACCTCCCCAATGCCGTCTTCATCTGGATCTGATTCTAAAATTTAACAAAGCTATTTCATTTTTATTACGTAAATTATATATTACTGAATGTAAATGGTTTAAAAATGAAATAATTTTTTTTTTTTTTTTTTTTTTTTTTTTTGCTAAAGAAAGGATGAGTAAAAAGAGAGTAGAATGCGTATATTGATTAATTATTGCTAATAATAAATATATTTTCCCCTTTTTATCAAGAAAGTCCTTATTTCTTATAAATAGTGCTTTATATAAACGTGTTTAATGTACTGACCAGTTATTTCTGCACGTAATCCGTGGTAGTGTCAAAAGAATGTGGGACGATTAAATGAAATGATGTCCGACCAACATTTTATTTAAAGTAAGAGTCCGGCGCTGATTTTCAACAAATTTTACAGCATTTAAATTTAGCTCTGAAACCACGCACAAAAAACGGAGAAGACGGATAAAAGTGTTTTTTAACAAATGTTTATCCTTAAATATTTAATGAAGCACAAACATTTTATTCTTCCTTTTGATAAAAATATTGTGCCTAATTATAATAAAATAAACTTTCCGGCAAAGCCGAAATGCGTAGAGACCCGCAAATTACGTATTATGCAATGTATCTGAACAAATAAATAAATAAATCATTAAACTGATTGATCGCCTACCCCCCACAAACAAAATATATACAACATCATAGCTCAATAATTCAGATTAAATCTAAAGAAAAGTCTAAACAGCATTTAACTCCTTAGCCAAGAGTGGATGATAGGTAAATGATTGTGGAAGCGTATTATTCAAAAGTCATAAAAGCATTAGAAAAATGACCTCTAATTCTTTAAAAAAATATAGAAGATGAAAAAAATAAAATTTGAAGGCTTTCAAATTAAAAAAATAAAATCTGAAACGCCCAAAGGGGCGCTTTTTTAACGTTTTGTGTGCTATATTTATTTATTAAATATCATGTTCCTTCGCACCTAAACCATAAAATTCAATTCAACAGCAATATAAAAAAAGGAAAGAAAAAGAAATAAGAAACCTCACGCATAACATATCCGTGCTTGGAAGGTGCACGCGATGTTAATGCTAATGGAACGCTCTGAAATCGTTGAGTTTGTTAATCGAAAATTCTTTAAAGTTTTACAAAATGTGAAATAGATATTAAATACCAAATTTGGGCTTCCAGATGCCCATATTCGAGTGGATGACCACGTTATTCAAAATTTGATGTCTCTAGTACCGTTGTTTTTTCACCAATGCGAGAAACATACATAGCATACCAGTCATGCAAGTTCTTCGACTCTAATATGTCTTGGCAACAAATTGAAAAAAGATTCAGACTTTTATAGCGAACCAACGCAAAATGCCAAAGCGAAATTAATAGCCCTTCTGAGCTAACGGTCCTTTGGGCTAATGAAATTGGATAAGAAATTTCATTTAAAGTATATATTGAAGGAAATTTTTTATCTTTACGGTACTGAAATGGATCGGTTGAGATAATTACACTGAAGTTAATGAATTTCTTGGTTAAC